AATAAATGTAGTCCACTATGTAGAAAACAGGGAGTGATTTTGACAAAGCCTTCATACTTGTCAAATCTGAAAAATGCAGTCGATTGATCAAAGCAGTGATGCCAGAGGATGACACACTGAAACGCACAAGATGCATCTAAAATCAGAACATTAAAAAACCCACAAAATGTCATATTTTGAAATAAAAGAAGCCTCTTTCTACAACTCTCTCCTTCCACCAGACAAGCGTGAATATATACACTTGATTACCCACTTCATCCTTTCATCTCTGCTTACCTCATATGCTGACCTTATTGCTCTTTAGTTTTACCACTCACTGATCCTGCCTGAAAGACTTATGAATGTCTAAGTCTGCCACCACGGGTTGGATTTGGTAAAGTATGAAACTAAGCCCACTGAAAAGAATATGTTGTCTCCCCCAGCATTTCAGCTTTAGCATAAATTAATTAGCCAAAACAATTTTCTACATTGTAGTAATGGTCACTATAAAGCTTGATCACGAATCCCATGTTAAATTGTATCCACTGCTGTGTTCAAAGAGGATGCTTTTCTACACCGCTTAGACTGGAAGGAAGTAGAAACTCAAAAATCGAGTTTCTTAGAGAACCTAATTTGTGATTTACTCGTGACCTAAAAGTCAGAATCTCTGAGCACAAAAGCGATATAAGAAATGTTGATGAAAGCATTTTAATGCAGCTGGACATATTGGAGTTCCCATAAATTCCAAGGTATAGAAAGTATACAAACATTTAATACAGAGGGTTGCAGACTGGATTCAACCACTACACACAGAAACCCCTTAAAAGCTTGAATCAAGAGCTATTGTGCAGCTGTTTTAGTGATTTGGTTTTTCTTGTGATATTTCATGTACGGGCTTTTCTTCAGATTGTTTATGTATTTTTTGATGTCCGATAACTTTAGTGGAAACACATTTTTCTGTTTACGTTTCCTATTCCAGTGGTTTTAATACTGTTATGTTTGCTGGTTGTGTGTTGATACTATTTTTGTACAACTGTAGGAGTGTATTATGATTACGATTGTTGGCACGCGTCTGCTACCTTTGGCACGTTTTTTCTGCCGGTGTTTTTCATTATGTTCTGATTGGTAATGGGATCTCACCTGGCTTTTATATGCTGTGATTGTTTGTCTTAAACCTCGCTGATGATTGCTGAAACACTTCCTTCGTTTTACCTGTTTTTTTTGGTGTTTTTTTACAATTTTAAATTAAATATAGTGTTTATAGATTTATAAATCCTTGTGTTCTTTCCATATTTGTATTGTGCATTTTTGGGGGATAAGCAGCACAGCAGCGTGTTAGTAAAAGTTTTGAGTTTGTGCCGCATTACAGAAGCACACAGCAAGATAGACAAGCCTCCAATGGTCATTCATGATTGCTGTGCATTCATGTTAATCCATATGTGGGTGCCAGACATGTAGGTTTCCGCCTGTGAGATTTTGTCTGCATCTATGGGTTTTACATGCTATTTTAGTGTGAGCCTAATGGGTTTACAGAGTGCCAGGCATTTTAACAGAGCCAGGGAGAGGCTTGTAAAACACACACACTCACCACAAGACAGAGAAGAGAGGCTGGCACACTGGAACATGGTGGTCTGGAGGGAGTCTGTGTGCGCATTAAGAGGGTCAGCCAGGGTGATGCTGACACATGATGAAGGAAAACGAGAAACACGGGTCTGAATGAAAGACTGGCAGTGTATGTGTGCGATTGTACATAGGCAGGGTTGGGGTCTCAAAAAAAAAAAACCCAACAACAATAAAAAAAACAAAAAAAAAACACATGGCGCCAAGTGGTGCCTGAATATGGGTGGGTTTGCAGAAAAAGAGAGGAAGAAGAAGAAGAAAGATTCAAACTGTGATGTTGTTAATGGAAACATCCCACTAAAAATAGTATAAAAAATAACTAATGAGTACAACTGCATTTCTAAAAAAAAAAGTGGGACTCTGATTTATGAATCATTTGAACCCCATATTTATTTTAAAACAGCACAAACCAAATCTGCCAATCTGCTGTCAGTGCTAGGAGAAAGGTCAAAAGTCTGTGCATAATTTTATACCTATCCATTTAGCGGATGACCACTGTACAGAACATGTAACCCTCACATATAGACTAAAGTCCAGTGAACCCCAGCCCTGGACTCTGCTGTACTCAGTGTGGAAACACTTTCCTCAGTACACACCAGAGCATCATTCATAACTTAAAGCTTCCAGTGACCAAACAGGGTTGGGAGTGGGTGTAATTGCTTATTCAACAGTTAGCCACACATCACTAAGGATGTCAAAGAAAGACAGGCTTTTAGGAATAAATACCCTTTGGGCTTGTCTACAGCATAAAAATAACTTAATTAACTTCTAAGGAAAGCAAGAGAACCGCAATTTAATCCAATATAAAATAAAAAAAATCTGTGGGGCTGCATGGAAAGCACAGCAGATATGAACTCTACCACACAACAGTTCACCACGCTGGACACACAGAGGAGAGTGAAAAACTCAGGGCTTTTTCTCTATGAATTTAATGATGTGTCCAAGAGGCTCAAAGGAGAAGCACAGCAGTTATTGTCCATCCACAGTAAAACAGTCTTCCCACCTTTATGAGCAAAACACCCTCAAAGGAGCTCACAGTAACACTGTCACTCTTTAGCATTAAATACCACGTCCCTCTAACAGATCTGTACCTCACACATTAGTCACCATTAGTATTTTCTGAAAGAGTTGTAAACATGTTCGCGATAACAGCTGACCCACTTCTAAACACACTGATCTCCAGTGGTGGTGTACAGAGGACTCTGTCACTAGTCTATGCCACCTCTGAGTTAACATCTATAGGGCCCTTTAGCTCAGCTTTTCATGAACTCCAGCCTCACTTCCCAGTGCAGCAATTAAAAGACATTCATGTAAAGGCTTTATTGTTTTTTATGGAAAAATCCAAACAGGTTAAAGGAGCGCTTATTAGTTACTAAATTAGTTCTGAAAAAAGTTAATATAGCTCCTCCACCTCTCCTTTAGCTTCGTTCTGGTTGGCTGATCCACATAAACAGAAGGTTTGAGCAGCAGGTGTGTGGGCCCGCTGTGCCAAACCAGAGCTGTGTGCCTGAGATGACTATATTAAGAATCTCCGCTCTCTCTTTACCAACTACACATCCAGCAGTGTAAAACAGAGTGTTTATAGCAGAGTGAAGTCTAAATTGCGGCTCGCGTGGATTATGTGAAGATATACTGACCCCATTATTTGAAACTTTGGCCACATTGTTGAGCATCAACATATGTATGACAGAAAATAAGGGATAAGTACCAAAGTTCCACTTCAAGGGCAGTTACATCAGGTATTAAATTTCTTCTTCAGCTTTATGTTACATGACGATTGGTAACCTTAC